GCGAACAGGGCATAGGCTACCGCGTGCTGCTGCTCTGAATCTGATCGTACTGTATTTGTGAGAAGAGAAGCATGCAGCAGCAACCTTGGAGTGCTATGCTGTGGATCATGCGCGAATGATTCGGTCGGCCGACAAGCAAAATGCTTCTACTCCTCGTACGGTGCAGGGCCGGGCCGCAATTAGCATGCGAGCCGTGGCTTTGCGTCTCTTTAATTTTTTTCCCTGTGTTTCATGCGTCGCGCTGCATAATTGCACCGCATTCGCATCAATGGAGACGGAGAGCGCTGGAGTGGGGACATCCATCGGTCAAAGGTAGGGCACGGAGACCGGGCAGGCAGCGGGACGAAGGAAATCGATCGATAGTCGATACCGATGCATGCAAATGCGGGTGGATAATCATCAAAGGAAGAGGCCCAGAGGAGAGGGGGCACGCATGATGCTACGTGCTGCACGATCTCTGTCTGTCTGCCTGCCCGCCCTTCCACTGCCGACTGTCCTTCCCCTTCACAGGCACACTCCCCCCCCAGACGGCTCAACTGCCCACTGTCCTCTCTCTCTGCCTTTTCCTTTGTCCATCCATTCCAACATCTCTCAGCAGTCTCTCGGTCTCTCCTGAACAGAGCAGTCTGCTCTGCTTTTCCAGCTTTTATCTCTGCCCAGTGCCTTGCCTCCCGCCTCCTGCATCCTGCCTCCACTAAAAAGGGCTCCCAATTCCAATACTCGTAGTAGACGCCGAGAGCCCAGGCAACCTGCCCCGTCCGCCCGCCGTCCCTGTGCCTACCACCCACGTCCCGTAGCCCAAGGCCCAGCCGCCCAATTTGGCAACAGCCATATACTCCACCAGTCGCGTCTCGGCTCTCCAGTTCCCCACTCCCACTCGCCGGTCTGTCGATCGCCACGCCGATGAGGGACGCGGTGGTGGTGATGGCGGTGCCCGGAGCCGGGGCCGGAGGAGGGAAGGCGGGCGGTGGCGGAGCGGCCTCCGCGGCGCCGTGCGCGGCGTGCAAGCTGCTGCGGCGCCGGTGCGCGGCCGGCTGCGTCTTCGCGCCCTACTTCCCGCCCGGGGAGCCACACAAGTTCGCCAACGTGCACAAGGTCTTCGGGGCCAGCAATGTCAGCAAGCTGCTCCAGGTACAGCACAGCACCATGCGCAACCGCCGCTCGCTCTGCTCCTCGTCTTCGGTTGCTCTGCTCCCGCGCTGGCGATGCTCAGTAGTTTTTTTCCCCCACGGGGCTTTTTCTTTGCCCCTCTCGTCGAGCTACACCATTGCCTAGTTGCGTTGCCGTGAAACTCACTAGCATGTAGCGATGCACGCAGCAGCACACTATGCTTGCCGCTCTGATATAGAGTAAAATATATAATCGTCTCTGCACTGAAGATGTTGCTGGTTGCTTCAGTGAACAGGTTTCCATGTCCCCATCTGCTGAGGTTCTTTTTTAGATAATGATCTGCTGAGGTTCTATTTGTCCCTCTTAGCCTTCGTTTGCTTCTAGAAGATCGAGATCGCCAGCAGCGCCAGATCACCTCACCTCACCTTACATATGCCTGCACTGCACAGTTACTTCTCCTTTTGCTGATTCTTCAGTTATATTTATATATATATATATATATATATATGGTTTTATTTGCTTCCATTGTCTAGACTAGATTTTTTTTCCTCTCCAATGTGTGTATAGATGTGTACTGTAGAGGCGGATAGTTGGAGCGAGCGTTACTTGTGTGATGACAGTCAGACTCAAAGACTGTCTGTCTGTGTCTCAGGTATACTGCTTTGCCAAAAGTAGCAAGCTTTACACACATATCTTATTAACAAAGTGTTCTCCGATCCTACCTACTGGCCACACTTTTAGGGATCATTCTGCTTTAGCTGCCTTCATTGTGTTACCGTGCCTACAGCCCTACATACACCGGGAGTCTTGATCCCGAAGCTTGATCCACTTTCCTCCATCTTTATTTGTTGCTCCTGACTGAGCTTCTGCTGTGCACTGCATGCCTCAACAGTCGATCAGTTCCCTAGAGCTTAACAGTTCTTTCTTGGGCACATACACAACCATGTTATAGCAAGAGTTTACTGATGATCCGGCTCCTGAGTTACTGTATCAGGATTCTAATCCGGTTCTTGGTAATCATGCACTCGACAAGGCACGGGCAAACAGTGTCTCCTTTTCACTGCACGCAGGGGGTGCCATCAGGCAGCCACCCGATCCAACCCAATCATGAGCAGGGGCAGTGCAGCAACAAAACAAACCAAACCAAATGAAAAAGATCGCCCACGCCCGGTCAACCAATCAGATTTGCTACGTTTTCATCTGCATGTGCCCAGGCAGGCCCCAGGGCCTCCATACATATCTACTACTCAGGAACTGTTTAGTTCCCAGAAAATTTTGCGCAGAACCCATCATATTGAATTTTGTGGCACATGCATGGAGTACTAAATGTAGACGAAAAAAAAACTAATTGCACAGTTAGGGTGAGAAATCGCGAGACGAAACTTTCGAACCTAATTAGTCCATAATTAGACACTAAGGGCTAGTTTGGATGGAACCCTGGAGCTGTTGCCTGAGAAAAATGACTGCCTGGATGTTGCCTGTTGAGTCATCATGGTTTGCCTGCTCAGGCTATATCATAGATACGTTTGTTTGGTTTGAAATATCTGCCTGGCAATTTGATCTAAGTTAACTGTGAAGGAATCTAAGCAGGCAACGTTGCCTGTGGCCAGGCGATCGTTTTTGTGTGCCTGGAATGCCTGGACCAGGCAAGGATACAGGACTGCAAGCAAACGCGCTACAGGCAGCATCCAGGAAGCATCCAGACCAGGCAGTCTGTGTCCAGGATAATATCCAAACAGCCCCTAATTGCTAAATACAAACGAAAGTGCTATAGTAGCCAAAACCTAAAATTTTTTATCTAAACGCGCCCTCACTCCGTCCCCAAAAATCCGTCCTAGCACAGTGTCAAAGTATTTGGGTCAATGATACCAAATAAATATCATTAGATTAATTATATTAGATTAATTACGAAATATATTTTTATAATAAATTAATTTAAAGACGTGAATATTATTCACTAAAATCTTAGTCAAACGTGAACCACATTTTGTGACACGCAATCATAGTTGCATTCTTTTCGTAAAGGAGGTTGTAATAATTTGGTACAAATTTATTAGAATCGACAGGGACTTGCCCCCACGTGCTCTTGACCGTATCTTCGAATTCACCAAAGATCTTCTCCCCCATGTGTCGAGCCAGCCGTCGGCAGCAGTGTAGTACTGCCTCCGGTGTGTCTACCTACGGCCGTCGCCATCTTCAGGCATGGATTGCACATGGTGTCCGAAAAAGAAGCTTTCGGCTGCACCAAACACGCAGACATGTTGTCGATCTTTTCTGTCATCTTTTCTTTTCTTGGAACAAGAACTCCAATAACCAGCTATATTATCATCTATTATTACTGTCTGGTTGCATTGGTCCTAATCTGATAGCACTAGCAGTTTCCTAGCTAGGCACTCAATCAGTGTTTCTTTGTCATGTCTGTAAAATGTGTCTCGTTCTACTTTACATTTCTACGTATCTTGTCATGTGTACGTATCTTCTTGGAGTGCAAACGATCCATGTCCATGAGTGAACATGCACTGTCGTTGCATATATACTCAATTACTCGTGCTCTCTGGTGGCAAGTGCAGGAGATCCCGGTGCAGCACCGAGGGGACGCGGTGAGCAGCCTGGTGTACGAGGCCAACGCGCGCGTCAGGGACCCCGTGTACGGCTGCGTGGGTGCCATCTCGTCGCTGCAGCAGCAGGTGGAGGCGCTCCAGGCGCAGCTGGCGCTGGCACAGGCCGAGATGGTCAGGCTCAAGATGAGCAACGACTACATCCTGCACCGGCTCAAGGCCGCGAGGACCGGCGGGGGCAGCAGCTACACCGGCTCGCCGTCGTCCATGTGCTCGCCCAAGACGGCAGAGCCCGAGGCGCACTGCAAGGCCACGCCGGAGCTGCTGGACATGGTCGTGGACCAGCCCAGCATGGACGACGCCCACTTCTGGTCCTACTAGCTAGCTAGGATCAGGATGGAGGCTGCTAACCGTATCCATCAGGTGCTTCTCTTCTGGGTCAGGCCAAGCACTCAATCTAGGTTGTTTTAGCTGATTTAGTCGTGTGATCGATCAGGTGCTGTTTTTGAGTCACAGATGGTGGTATGGTAGTTGGTATATATATATAATATCATCAGGTATATTGTGTGCGCGCGCTGTAACAGCGTGACACTAGGAGGAAGGTGAGCGTACGTAGAGGCCTTCTCCTATATACCTTCTAGCAGTATGTCCAGGGCTTGTTTTTTTGGCTGTCCTTCCATGAGAAGGTGGAACATTGTTACAGATATTGGTGTGCATCATGCTATGCATTGCAAGAACCTTTCTCTTGCTCGTAGCACCTGCCTGGTTCATTAAACAGGTGAACTCTGCTATGAAAATGCAGATAACTTTTAACTATGTTTGTCCAAGTGTTTACTCTTCCATGCCAGTGTTTTCGGAATTATGTGCCAGCTTTTGTTCAGCTGCGAAATTAATTTCAGAGAAAAACCTCAGTACAACCAGAGCAGAACGAAAAAATTTAACTTCAGGTTCCAGAATAAGATGCAGCTACTGGTTTGTCCCAGTTGGGGATGAATGAAATTTTACTCTCAAGTTTGTCTGTTTGACGGTTTTACAGGGATGGGGCACCATGACAGACTGCATTCTAATTTAGGCAGTGCACCACTTACAGAAGCAACACTAGTTTGCATGCTTGGTTGTTGGGAGAGGTCCGATCGTTCCAAACTTCCACCTATGGGGCCAAAACTTGGCAACTGGACCCACAACTAGATGGCAATAGGTTGCTAATGCAGCAACTTCGCTATCTGCAAACAAAACAACAAATTGTGTATCTTATTAGCTTTGCGGTAACTAAATCATGAGCAGGGGAACTCTGGCATTGGATAGCGGAACTTACAAAGAGACACATGAAGCCTATGGCATGCTACGATTTAGCAAGCCTTGGAAAGATAGATAAAGATCTTTGCTGTCTGGACCAAATATCTCTTCAGCTTTCTTGAGAGTTTCCTGGTTTAAAATGTAAACATGAACAGTCATGTGGTTGTGTTATGACTCAGACAGGTATTCAATTAAAAAATTAGCAGATGGACCGAAATGACCAACCTCACGTGACTGCTTATGGGCATTGAGCTCTTTGATGTTGGCTAAGAATGCTCCAAATTGTTCGTAGGATAGACGACTCCTATAAATTGTAATGACGTTTTGTTGATTATGATATCATCCATCTTATTCATCAATGGTTCAGAAAAGAGGTCAAGATATCAACAGACCTGGCTTGACGAAAAAATTCCTTTCCATCAATACGAGGAGTCCGACCTGAAAACCCCAGCATCAGCTATATTTATTCTATCCATGTAAACATTGTATTGTAGTTTCAAATGACAGCATGTCTTTACAAACCTGGGTTTGAACGTCCTCGTGGAGGTGAGTTAGCTGCCGAGGATTGCTTGCTTGATGGATACCATGGTGTCATTGACATGTGAGCTTCAATTCGAGATTTTGTTGGTGAGGTAGCACCAGACATCAACTTCGGTGTTGCTGCGGTAGACATTCGCCTCGGAGAAGCAGAAGTGGACATTATTTTAGGAGTGGCCTCTGGGGTAAGGCGAGGAGTGATGTGCGATGAGAGGGCATATTTTTGGATCGGAGGCCTTGTTGCGGTACCTAATAGATTTTCAACAGTGCAAATGGTTGAAACTTATGTTGCCACCCTGATGGGTGTCAAAATGAATAATAAATGATAAGCTAACAATACCATCTCGGTTTGTGCTTCCAGCATCCAAAGATTCACTAAATATATTTGTTGTAGGGTGGCTGACAGATCCACCATCTTCAGCATTCAAAACAAAATAATAGTTATGGATCAATGTTGGATACTTTTGGTGGTTATTAATAGAAATGAGAGATTTTTCATGTACATCTAACCTCCACTGGACGATGCTTTTGATGGTACTGACTGATCACACGTTGTAATGTCAACTGTTTCCTGTGGCTGCTTGAGAAGGATTCAGCAAAAAGTTAGGGGTGAACAGTCATAAAATAAATGAACATACTGATGAACTGGGTAAATAAATTAGCAAGCACACATAAATAGCGTGATATACTGGGTAAAAAAGATGAACATACTGATGAACTATCATCACGCAATGACTGCATCAGATGCCTCTTGAATGACTCCAACTGAGAATAGAGAAAACATATAAGTATGTTGTCAAATAAAATGGTTAGGGAAAGAGATAGTGGAGTTTTTTTTTAAAGCACGGCAAAGGTCTTGACATAAATTTTATTACAAGATACAAATGTGAAAAAAAAAACAAAGACCAACAACAGAAGATAACTCCAAGCTGCACAGAGCTCCACAAAGAAATAAGGAAGAAAAGATAGACAAGTGTGGCTGATAATCTGAAATGCCATTTGGCTTGCTCCGACCTCCGAGAGCATGAGAATAAAAGTTCATTTTCGTCCTTCAAATAGGGAAGAGAAAAAAAAAGAGGCAAAATTTGTTTCACCCCTTAGATTTGTTTCACTCTTATTGCGCGCTCATTCACTGCTAAAGTCCATCAGCTATATAAGGAAATTAATCAAGAGAATGATCTAATCAGAGATATTTATGCACATTCATGTAAGGAAAGAGAGATTAAACAAATGACATCCAAGGAAAGGAGATATAGTCATGGGGGAAAAAAAAGGAAAGTTCAATCAGCTTCAGCTATGCAAGAAAACTAATCAGTTGTAAGACTCATATTTAGAAACCTTGCGTTGGGAACATGAAACAGCGCACACATGCAGTAAATAAAGATTGTGTCCATGATGTGTCTTATTGTTGGGGCCCATATAAGCCAATGATCATGGGTGTGAATTGGTTCAATGATTTCAATGGCATAAACCCAGTTGTTTTCCACTTTTTACTTGCCATTTACAGTGGCTACAGATCAATGAAAACATCCTTGATTTGCTAGGATTTGTTTACTTATGAGTTATGATGATACTGAACATTTGAATAATTCCATCGTTCTCATCAATGTCAGTGGAAGTTGCAGCCTAAGAAATGACAACCCAGTTCACTCATTGTGATCTTAAAATGTACTGTACTAATAAATGGTCCAAATAGATTGTTCAATTGTTCCCCTTACTCAACCGTTCAAATCTCCTGGTTAATAACTTTCCTAATATATGTGAATTTCTAATCCTAGCTACACAGTAACTGTAACACAGCACTACACCTACAAATATGTATGCACAAGGAGAAGGATAGGCCGACGGGGGGAACCTTCTGCAGGTCGCGTGCCAGCTTCTTGGACGTCTGCGCCAGCGAGTCCCGCTCCTTGCTGAGCTTAATCTGCACCCACAACGTTGTAAGCACCAGGTTCAGAAACCCAAACGGACGCAGATGCCAAATGCGAACAGATTGAGCCGGGCCAGCAGCTACGGGCACGCCACGACCCACATTGTCCTCGAGCGCGGCGCGCGGCCTGGCGTTGGTCTCCTGCAGCGCGGTGTCGAGCAGCGCCACCCGGTCCCGGAGCTCGGCGTTCTCGCGGTCCTTGGCCGCGGCCTCCGCCCGCAGGCGCCCCGCCTCCCGCTCCAACCCGGACACCCGCCCCGCCACCGCCAGCGCGGTGATGCGGCGCGCCAGATCCAGCTGCTCGTAGGGGTCCCGCGGCAGCTCGCCAGGAGCTCGTCCGGCAGCGCGAAGTCCCCGCCGCGCCGTCGCCCAGTGGCATCGCCGCCGCCAGATCTCTCCGCGGAGGCGAGGGCGGGCGAGATGGGACGGAAGCCGAATCGGATTGGGCGGGTGCTTGGGTTTGCCCGCTGCTGCGGCTGCGCTGTGGAGTGGAGGTACCTCTGGACTGTAGAGACTGGAGGGGAAAGGGGCCACCGATGGCTGCTTGGGGGGTTTTCCGGGTTTGAAATGGGCTCGGCGGCCGTCGCGAGGTTTGAAATTGTTTTGGGGGTCTCTTTTTTTTTTGGGAATCTTGTTTTGGGGGTCTCTTTTTTTTTTGGGAATCTTGTTTTGGGGGTCTCTGTTCCCCCGTTGGCCTCGGTTCTGCGGAGTGGGCGCCCGAAGTAGCAATTGTTTGAAACGGGGACGGTGAGGTTCGTACCTGTGGTCAAAGGGGGATGCGGTACGAAATGCCAATAATAAGCTCATGGAACTTTTTTTTTGAAAGTTTTGAGACGAGGGAACGGTGGTCATCGAGGCCGAGCGAGAGATTTCGGCTCAATCACTTTAACCAGATGAAGTAATCGAGCGTTGGCGCGTGCAGTCTAGCGCCCTGTTCGTTTGACTAATAAAGTAATAAGACATACTTTTTTAAGCCAATAAACAATATTTTTCTCTCACAATAAATCAGTTAATCGCACTTTCAGTCATGGCTTATTAACCAAGCGAACAAGACATAGGACTCCAAACTTTTATAACCGGTATATAGGTTCTCGTACAAAGAGACTAGATCCGATAAGCTGATAAATCTGCTAAACGGGTAAGTTAGAATTGCTCTAACTTTAACTAAGCTTAGAACAGAATACACAAGCATCTACAACATCAAACAAGAGTTATTAGATACACCGTTAAAATATACTTCCTTTGTCCTAAGATAAATGCACATCTCGCACTTCGATATATAATAATAGACATCATTAGATTAATTATGATATATATTTTTATAGTAAACCTAATTAGAGATACAAATGTTAATATTATTTTCTATAATTCTAGTCAAACTTAAGATCAGTTGACTCCTTAAAGTGCAAAATGTGCATTTATTTTGGAACGGAGGGAGTATTTTGATTGCATTTTTCCTAATATTGTAGGTGTTAATATATTTTTCTATATATTTGGTAAAAATTAAACAAATTTGACTTGTGACAAAACCAAAACAACTTAGAATTTCAAACGATTGGAGCATATGTACTTCTATGTCTCTACAATATTACTACCACATTGTAAATAAATTATAAGTTATTCTGGTTTTCTAGATACATAGTTTTTACTATGTATCTTATATACATTTATGTCTAGGTACGTAATAAAAAGCTATGTTGAAAAAACAGAAGGACTTAATTTGGAACGGAGTACACCACACACCTGATGCACTGTGGTAGCAAAATAGCACCTCATCCAGTTTCAAAGAGAGCAATCAAGGAATGTACATTGGTGTCCAGAATTTCAAGCAACTAAATTTACAAGCACCAAGCTGGATAACAGAATATGCAACGACGATGTTGCAGCGCCCATCCAGCAGAGGTGAGAACAACAGAATGAATAGCAGGAGTAATATCCTTATGTCTCAATGTGACTACAAGCCTTATATAATACTACCTTATAAATTGTAGGCCATTTTAATTCTGTCCTAACTCAAAATTGTCTAACTATGACCTGAGTTTTAGGAGTGGAACAACATCAAATACATATCTAAGTAGTTTCAAACTTAAGATATGCATAGATAATTCATTTATTTGGCTTTGCAAATATTAACATATTTGTCTATAAAATTGGTTAAAGAGAAATTTGATATAGGATAAAACTAAAACCACTTAATTTGAAACGGAGGGAATAATAGTCTCATGTAAGAGACGATGTTCAGTGAAGTGGCTGAAGTGGTAGCCTTGTATATATTAGCCTACGACACAGACTAAAGCAACAACATGATGCACTAAACGGCAAAATGACACCATAATAACATCATTATAAGTTTCAAAGTTCAAACTGGCCGCATACAGTGAATGGACAACAACAACGGTGTTCAAAATTTCAACACCTTAAAAACATAATTTTAAGGAACTAATCTGCAAGCACTAACCTCAAAACTGGAACATCACATGTAACGATGGATCCAAACCATTAATTTGTCCAATTCAGTAACAGGTGCAGTAACACTGCATATTCCAGGCTCCAGCACCTACCCATGGGAGTACAAAAAGAATTTGCACAACATTTAATATGCTGTGAGTTGGCATTTCTGTACAGGACTGGAATGGGCACTCCCATTCAGAAGGTGGGGAATGCACATATATAATGAATATAGATACAACCTTCATCCTTACCTACTAACTAAAAAAGAGAAACAGATAATACTAACATGGTATCTCCAGCGACACCAGTCTGTATATGCTGCCACCAATATTCGTCATTATCCTTTTGAAGGGAGCTGCTGGCATTATATCATATTAGCAATAGACTACTGCTGCCCAAGCACCCACCAAGAGTTCTGTCATTGGTCCACTTTCATCTTCATGATTCTATGTCACCTGATCATTTTCATTTCGAGGTGGATCGGTGTAATCTTGACCATGATCACGGACATCTCTGAACATAGAGAAGAAAGAAACTATGCCATCAGAAGCACCGCCTCCTAGCAACCACAGCAAAAGGGACCCAAATGGGTTGAGGGAGCCTGAGCCCGTAGGGGTGGTTCCAGCTTGCTGAGTGTTTTGCTCTTGATACTGGAGAGCATTGTTGGCAGCTGGCTCAGAAATTCCATTCTGTTGACCCTCTTGCTGGTTCCTGGTAGACTCATCCTGAACCAATAGGGCATCTGCTTCACGAGCAGCACCAAGGCCATCGTTTATAGTACCAGGGTCCCTCACATTTACCCTAGCAATGTGTAAGGTAGAGTAGATAGTTGAGGATGTAATCTGGACACCTGTCTGCTGGTGAATGTGAGCTCGACTTCGCATGAATCTCTGGAGAGCTGGCACCTGAAGTGGCACAGGGAAACATGAAGTAGACATTGGGTGACAAGGATTTAATTGAGCTAATGGACCCAATATATGCACACTGATCTACCTCCCTACTGAATCAACCAATTTTGGATCAATTTTCTCATTCACATGAAAGTTACGACAAGCTGTGCATACAAACCACTGTTCAGAAGCTAAAAAGTGGATAGGGATATTAAACTTTGAAACATCTAACTAATAGTAATCAATGATTATTTCTAAAAAACGTGAACAGAAAATTACATCAAAATGTAGAAGCATTAGATAAATAAAGAGAAATACAAAAACACAGAAACAAGACATTAACTTACCTCAAAACGGTTCCAAAAATATAAAATAAGGTGCTGCATGAATGCTGCCGTAGCAGAGAAAGCCAGATATGAGAAGCCTGGTAAAGCATGTCATAAAGCAACAGAAATGCGCCATTAGTTAATCAATAGTTCAGTCAGAAAAAAAGTTCGATACATACTGAATTTTACGTACCATAAGTATATGAGAAGAAGTAGATATGGAAAACCAAAAAATAGAGCAAGAAGAAGCGTGGAAAGAACTGCATCGATATGGATGTCCGCACACTGAAAAACAAAGATACAGGGATAAGTATTTAAGAATCATTAGCTTCAAAATTTTGTCCTGCACAAAATCAATTCTAATAGATGCATTCATGCTAGCTGCCTTATACTATTTCGACGAGAATAAGTGATCATCTCTACCCATATATCTTTTACTTGAGTTGCTCTCTCAGCAGTTATACTGAGCAAAAGGCCTAGCTATTCCCTTGGGGAAAATTTGCCGTAGGGCACCGCGACTTCGTATAGCTCTGCCTCTAGGACACAGCAAAAGTCCTGCTTGGGGGAAGGCACTGTCAAATTGTAGTTACTAGCTGGTTGCCTGGGCCCCCATTAAAATACTCTTTCCAGCTCAAAGAGAGATTTTTTTTTTCATTTGGGTGCCCCTGGATCACAAATGAACTCGACCTGGCCCCAACCAGACCCAACAGGAGTTTGGACAAAACTGTGACTTCTCTAAAAGGGTAGATGTTTCACATTGGGAGTGGAGTAATAATAAAAATTCCAGTAATACTTCCATGTAAAACATTACCTGATCATCGTGAACAGCTCACATAACCATACAAGAGTCAAAACAAGAAACGCAAGCAATTGATCATCGTAGAACTCAAATAGAAAAAAGAGGATCCCAATCATAATCTACAAAGATCAGAACAAAATAATGAGTGAGCTAATGTAGAAGTTTGGTGAATCCTGCAGCGAATACATTTCATCACAAACTTCAAATATTTCAAAACACCAAAGAATATTTCCCATTACCGGAACAAAAACCAATGATTCGATGACATGCACGAATATCAACTGAAAAGTTGGCAGGTGGTGGCGTGCATGGTGTTGAAGCTGCACTGAAAATTTCAAGGAAGAACAACGCACTAGGTGAATCAAATAAAATATTAAGTGCAAAGCAATCCAGGCTGCAACCTACAGAAAAGAACACCAACCTGTGAACCTAAGCATGCGGGATTGCGTTTCTCTCAGAGTAAATGAAACAGACATGGTGGTTGTGAAAAAGACAAAGAGTGACATTAGAAGGACACCACATTTTGTCACAAAGTAATCTGCAAACACCAAAGTTGCAATGCATCAGATTTGATGCACAGAGAGGAAGATATGGGTCATGTATGTTATGAAAGGCAATCAAAAGCCAAAATTAAGGACTTTTTGGTTCCATACTTTCCAATTTGAAAGTTCATTGCAATTTAGCAGTTGACATGTATAAAGCTTTAGTGGAACAATGCACAATAGTGATGTCATGTAGAAAATGCTCAAGAGTTGACTCAACATATTGAGAAAACAAAGTTAACTATACCAACCTCCAAATCTTGTAGGACCTTCTGGTGGTTCATGCCCATAACTGAGATCATAGAGCTCCTTTGTCTGAAAGTTGTATAAATAACCTGCACAACATACCAAAGACCAAAAAAATTAGTTCATAAATGGATCATAGTGCAAACAGTTATACAAAGTGCAAAAAACTGTTGTTTGACATGCTTCAAGCAAGTCAACTACGTTGTTAGTTGTTACTTTGCTGTTATGAACCAAGTCTGTGATCATTTGTAGAACTATTTTGACGATTAAAGGTTGGTACATGCACAATAGGATCAGATGCGTACCATGACCAGGAGAATTCACCAAGCTGTTTGTAAGTATAGTATCATATCCAACAATGCTGTTTATCAAAAGCTGCTGCCACCTGAAAAGGAAAATGTAGAAAAAATTGAGATGGCATCTACTGCAGACAATCCAATTGGATAGTATATGTACATGCCAACACATCACAGACACCCACTCAAAGAAAACTGTAGCAAAGAAAAATGTAGACTTATAGAGAAAGAAATGTCTCTCACATTTTGTATACAAAGTACAAATTGCACACAAATCTACAGGTTTTATTAATATCAAAGAAAATTTCATGTTGCAATGATATAGGGGTTACTATCGTAGTGTTCATTGAAATAAGGCACCAATTCTTATTATCTATCTGAGTGCAAGATCAAAGTTACCAGAGGCCACAATCAACTCAAGATGAAAAATAAATAGATGTGCAAAACTGTGACTTAACCTAGTACTCCCTCCATTCCAAATTATAAGACGCTTTGGCTTTTCAAGATACATAACTTTTGCTATGCACTTAGATATACACTATGCCTGGATACATGGTAAAAGCAATGTACCTACAACCTAGAGAAGCCAAAACGTCTTATAATTTGAAACGGAGGGAGTATTTGTCAAATTTGTTAGCTGGATAATACACATATGGAATCTAAGTAGCAAACTGTCAAGAATTAATATATGCTGAAGTGAAAACATTTAGATAGATATGCAAATTCCACAAGATCCAAGGTAAGGTCATTGATACTCTTAAAATACAACATGCAGCATGCTTACATGTTGGTGGAAAGGGCATTCTCCTAAACTCTATGTCAGATCAAAGTTTTCAACATATGAGAAGGTGCTAATATTAACAGCAACCTTTGGCACTTAAAAGCTTGCAAATAGGAAGGGTTCAAAAATACTGAACAGAAACCTGTTTCCAAAGCAAGGATTTCGAGCAGAAATTGTGATATTGATTGTTCGGACACCATGACGAATTTTAGCACCTTCAGAAAGCAAGAAATAACCCTGCAGAAAAGAAATGAGAATGTGGGAAAGCCCCTAAAATGAATACTATTCAACGTACGATGCTAATACATGCATACAAGCATAAAAGGGACAACAATTGGGTCTTCTGATCCTCTTAACCAACTCAAGGCTTGAATTAATTCAAGAAACTATGTCATCAATCAAACCTATATTGCTAATACTGTATAATTGTGAATATTCTACTGCTTTTCAGATCCTTTTCATTGAGTGAATATGCCACTCTAATAAGGTTGAACCTCTTTCATAGCCTGAAATTGTATGTTCGTTATTTACCCTTGCTAAAATTAAAGATTGCATACACAACACATCTGCGACAATGTGCTGTGAAGGACGACTTCATCTACAAGCTTCCAGGTTAGTGCTCTGTGAGGTTACTCAGACTGCATTGCAACAGTCAGTACTTCAGTGAGAGAAGTGCAGACCTGGAAACAGCCTGCAGCCTCACCATTGTGTTGAGACCACTTGGGATGTGACCACATAAGGCCAGTGGCAGGTCAGAAAGCAACGAAGGTCAACAGAGAAGGGATGTAACTTCCATCATATCTGTCCAGTGTTCCATCTCAATGTGCCAAAGTTTATAAGGGTGAGTGGACAAAGGAACAACAAGGATATTTTTTAAGAGTTTAACAGAATATATCCTCATAATGGAACTTTGCACTGAAGATGTCAAGAAGCAGTGGCATATTCACAGTTATCACTTATCAGATTGTTACTGGAATTTTCACCAGCTGGGGATTGACTAGGTGCATACACTATTTCCTCACTGAAGAGTAGCCTAAAACTTTCAAACATGTTCAACAGAAGTTTGTATTCTTATTGTGCTAAGAAACAAGAAGCTCATCACCAAATAACATATCAAAGAAGACAGAATGGCCAAGTGATATAAACAGGACAGGAAGAGTCTGACCTTCTCCACGCCATATAAATAAGTAGGCTCAAACGCTTTACTCCTCCTCTCAAACCACTGCACTGTAACAAGCAACATAAGCTAGAGAAGTTAGAGAAAATTAGTGCTTGTAGTTTGCAGGTGACAAGGTTAATAGGATTCATGCGAGCACTATTCTAGGTTGAGGCGCATAAAATATGACAACTTAACAGTCGACACTACCTATTGTCGAAATAAGATGATCCATGCTTGGTAGTTGAAGATCCTTAACAATATGGAGGAAGTCATTCCAATTTGATCTGACCTGATGTTAAAATAAACAAGAAATATCATAGGGATAAAGTACATGTATGTTAACCAATTAGGCGACACATAGGCAAACACAGATCACTAATAGCAAACATATAGAGTTATAGACAAAAAAAAAGTATCATGCCACTTAAGGAACCCAGTAGGGATAAAAATATTAGTGAGCAATCTTTTGCTTAATCTGAATATTGATTAATACTGCTATACTATCAGTCCAACAAATCTCAGCAATAAATAGCTATACGCCACTAATTTGCCCCTTCAGAAACACTTCTCAAGACAACCCCCCCCCCCCCAACAACAAAAAAAAGAAAAAAGAAAAGAGCTAGAAACTTTTTTCTTACATCAAAATCCATCGATCCGACCAACAAAATGAGGATTTTTGGGGTGAGCATTAAACAAGGCAGTGGTTTAAAAAAATTCTGGTCAAACTTCTTACCATCAACTGGAGGGTATTTTCTGAAAGTTGCTTTATATTCTTCCAGAATGAGACAGCACGATGGTACCATTTTCTGAACAAATATGTCACTGCTGCTTTAAATGACTCCTTAGCCGATAAAGGGTGGTGTACAGAACCCTCTCCGGCTGCCTTCAAATCTGGTAAGCCTGGAATAGTTGTGGTAACAGTTGTGTCAGCTGTATTCTCTGATTGAGGTTCAAATTCTTTGTCTCCTTTCCAAGTTCTAAACATTAGCTTACTCCTCCTAGCTCCAGGGCCAAACCAGGTTGACCAAAACTTAGATGCCAAAATGTTGAACTTATCACCATTAACCTCTAAAATTTTCTCAGCTGAACGTCCCAGGTTCTGGAGATCCATGATGTAAGAAGCACCTCTGCTGGACCATAATCCCCCACTGATAATCTACAACTCATAGCAAAGTTTAAAATTGACACCAATAGAATAGAAACAGGAATCATCAACAAAAGCAAGAAGAATAAAACATACATAATGGAGTTTCAGAGTAGCAACTAATTCAATAACAAAAGCAAAGAGCAACCAGACATTAATACTACCTTGATTTGGACAAGTTGTGCTTCTCCAAATTCAATTCCAGAAAACTCACTTGAGCAGCCAGGCTTCGCATGCAAAAGACAATTCAAAAGTGAGAATCAAAAAATAAAGACTGGAGCGGACAGAAATGTGGACTACAAAATCAAATAGTATTAGTCCATCGCAATATTCTTTCTTTTTTTCTCACAACTCAAGATTTTTGTTTTAATGATCTCCACTCATGAACTTTATATTTCTACCTAGTTGATATTAATCAGCGGGAATTTGGAACCATGGCACGTACTTCGCCCTGGGAACATTGTTCCTGTTCCAGAAACAAGTAGGTTCGACATTCCTCAATCCCATCAACCCAGGAACTTGGTCACTATGCACATGACTATGTGAATTACAGAGAGCCTGCTTTTTATATGTATTAGATATATAGACAGATCATTTAGATGAATAAGGTTATAGTTGCATGGCCTTGCTTGGTGTGATGTGTGATTTGTTCTATATGCGTGTAGATATATCATAGTTCGTCAAATATTTATCTTATGTACCATTACATGCATTAAAAATCCTTTGTAAAAGGATGGACAAATTAGATCAATCAGATTGGCTCAATTTTAACATAGCAGCAACTCAATGAAATCAACAATCGAAATATGTGTTAACATGATAAGTGAGGCATGAACAGAATAGAACAGAACATAAAGGTCAAAACAAAAATGTCAATCAGAAACAGAGCAGGAAGTGAACAGTATGTATACAGATTAAGTGATGAACTAATACACCCCTTTGAATATATATATGATGTTTAGGACAAGCTAATTAGTTCAAAAAAATGCCATGTATTTAAATACAGGGAGTACTTAACTTTTGTTCCTCCTAGTTCAAAGTAAATACTACTGATTACTGAAGGAAGAACAAAAGAGGATAGGTAAGAGTTCTTCAATGTTATGCCGGCAAAAAAATCATTAGCAAAGCAGCGATAGTAGCTCTGTTTCCACAATTCACATTAAATTGGCAGCATGGTAGCTCTGTTTCCACGAGAAGCGTCACATCCGCTCCCAATCCATCACAGCGGCAGCAACAGGAGCAATGGAGAATGATAGGCAGGCCACTGAGGGCAATTCTCGAGAGACGGGCCCATGACTGACCTGCTGCACGAAGTTGGTGTGCATGACGACGAGTAGGCAGAAGAGCGCGACGGCGCCGGCGAGGTAGAGGTACTCGAGCGCGAGGCGGATCCGCGGCGTGAGCAGCTGGGACAGCGTCCCCGATAGGCGCGCGTGCACCCGCAGGAACGTCTGCTCCGGATCCATCCCCTGCCGCTGCCGCTGCTGCGGCCCCGCCCGCGGCGTCGCCAGCCACCTCAAACCCTAAGCAGGGCCTCCCTCCCCTCCCTCCCCTCGAGGGAAGGAAGCTTCGAATCGATTGGGGTTGGGATTATTCGGGACTGGAAGACGCTGTGGATCAACGGAGAGCTGCTGGCCGGCCGGCCGCGAATTTGGTGCTGGGGGAATTTGCTTGCGGGGTTTGGGATTTGAATTTCTCCGGGGCAGTGCGCATCAGCGCATGCGGTTGATGGTGTGCGTACGTTTCGCTTTCCTTCCCCTCACACAGCCTGTGTGCCAGACTACCAGTATCGGGGGCTCTTTCTTGGGGAACGGGCTACGGGCTACGGGCTATGGGCTATGGCGTGTGTAGGCGGCGGGGCGCACGCAGCAATTTTTCCTGCCGCCGGCACGTTGGTTGGTTGCCTGGTTTTGGTTGGGTTGGGTCTGCCGGTATGGAGCCTGGGTGGCTGGCTCCGCGCGAGCGGATGAGGATGCCAGATTTTTTGTGGCGTGTCGCTGTCCAGGAAACTCCAACACAGGTCCTGTATTTTTATTTTTACAAATTTATTTACATGCACAGCTTGAACTTGCTCTCAAATTTTAAAATAAGTGTACATCTTACACTCTGAGAAGTCAACTAATCTCAATTTTGACGAAATATATGCAAAAAGATACTAACTTTCACGATGCTAAATAGATTTCATATATGTTCATACTAAATAAACTTATTTAGATATATAAATATTAATACTATTTTCTATAAATCTAGTCAAATTTTAGACTGATTGACTCCTCGAAGTGTGAGACGAGCACTTATTTTGGAAAGAAGAGAGTAAGCTCATGCTTGCTTCTGCTCAGCAAGACACACTGAAAGCACTAGCTTGGTTTTGGATAATTGATGAAACATATGGACTAATCCTTGAGCTAAGTATGTAGACAAGAGGGGATGGCCCAAAGCCAAGTGGTAAAGCTAGATGATGGTCATGGTGATGGTGGTGACCAAACTTGAAGATCAAGTGCTTCAACTTGAAAAAGAAGAAAGAGAAAAACAAAAACAAGGTTGATCAAGGTAAATGTATCAAATATGTTTTGTTTTGGCACTCAAGACACTATAGAGGGTGTGAGTATGTTTAGGATCGATATCTGTACTATAAAGAAGGAAAATCTTTGGCTAATCGGTTATCGAGTGCCACTAGGTGACATGATTCTTGCATATGCATTAGAGACATAGTGTGCTAACAATTAACCATTAAAAATGCTTGAAAAAATACTAACATACGGGCACATGGGTAGTACACTTTGTGGTTAGTAACTTAGAAGAAAGGGTGAAGTGTTTGAATAGATAGAAAAAGAAAAGGAGGCAAAGGTTAGTGACCGGACGCTAGGACCTACGCGTCCGGTGCTTAACCCTAGCTGTCGGTCAGCTGAGGAGAATTGACCGGACGCTGCACCGGACGTAGGCCATGCATCTGGTCATGCTGTCCAGAGAAGGTGCAGGGAGGTTTGGCGATCGAACCCTAGAGGTTGTCGTTGACCGGACGCACAGGGGGTGCGTCAGGTCGACGATGATGTACGTTGATGCAATCTCCGTGGGCGAGCGTAGTGAGGACCGGGCGCGAGGCGTGTCAGGTCACCTCTGACCGGACGCATCCGGTCAATAAAAATTCTCTCTGGATGCTTACTCGATTCAACCAGACGCGCTGTGTTCGTGAGTCTGGTCATTTCTTCGTCGAGTCCGGTCACAACTTAACTACGCGAGTGATCAACTAGTGACCGTTGAAGATGAACAGGCGAGGTTCAAAGGGGCGCCATGTGGACGCCATCCGTGGACGGACGCTGGGGTGCGTCAGCATCCGATAAGGCAAGTTCGGTCACGCTTTCGACAAAGCAGCGGCTCTTTGAGCCAAGGGGCTCTATAAACAGCTCTTGGCTGGCTTGGGGCTCACTCTCTTAGCACTTTGACATTCTTAACATCCTTGTGAGCCTATGCAAACACCTCCCACTCATCTCCATCATTGATTCATCATCATAGTGAAATTGAGAGTGATTCCTAGTGCATTTGCTTGAGTGATTGCATCTAGTAGCACTTGGGGATCGTTGTGGCAGCGGATTTCTTGTTACTCTTGGTGGTTACTGCTACCTAGACGGCTTGGAGTAGCGGAGGAGCATTGGCACGAGTTGGTGATTGTTCGTGGCCATCTCCCAGTGATTGTTGAGGGGTCTTGTACCTTCTCCGGCGGAGAGCCGAAAGGTAACTCTAGTGGATTGCTCGTGTCATTGAGTTACCTCACTTTGGGTAGGTTCTTGCGGCGCCTAGTGAAGGCTTGGTGTGGTGTCAATTAGCCGCCCAACCACCAAGTGTTGGTCGACACAACGGGGACTAGCGTGCCGGTAAGCACGTGAACCTCGGGAGAAAAATCATGTGTCATCTTGTGATTAGATTTCTCCCGGTGATTGATTGGTATACATTGTGATTGGTTCATCTCACTTGCCATGGCAGTGTAAACACCTCACCCACTCTCTAGCATTTACATTGTTTATATTCTTGCTTAGCCAAGCTCTTTAGTGTAGCTAGTTTTAAGAGCTTGTTAGTTTGGTTAGTGAGGCTCTTTAGTTAGTCTTTGAGAGCGCACTAACTTAGAGAGTAGTGACATAGCCTTGTGTGTGCCTAAAGATCATAGCAACTAGAATTGTTGGTGTAGGTGGCTTGCAACCCTTGTAGAGCTAGAGCAAAATTACATTTTGCCATTTAGGTATCTAACCCTTTGTCGACGAAATCTAGTCGGCAGTCTACCGATGCGTATGTCCATGTCAGTAGATGAATCGATGGATGTGCTCATGAGGGAACCAGACAGTGACACAGAACACAAGAGACAGCGATTAGGCAGATTCAAGCCGCCGACTTAGCGTAATACCATATGTCCTGTGTCTTTCGATGGGTTGTATTATGTATGATCAGATGAAAACGAGGGGGTGTCCCTACCCACCTTATATAGCCCGGGGGTAGGGTTATAGATCGGTTGTTTCTATCCTGATCGATTTACAAGATAGAAAGTTACAAATATTATGGGATCTAGCATATCCGAGTAGGTTTTCTATATCACCGAGGATCTTTACGTAGTCTTGTGAGGCACGCACGACCTACGCCGTGCTTCACGCGGCGTCATCTTGTAAGCTGGGCCTCCACTAGTGGCGGGATCCATGCGCAATCTTGTGGGCTGGGCCTCCCCTAGCGGCTCAGCCCATGTACACCCTTATGGGTATCGAGGGTCATACCCCCACAGCTAGTCCCCGAGCACCTTGCATCCTCTGTGCAACACCGTCCTAGGCTTGTCCGAGCTGATCAACAAGCCGCTAATTGTCAGGAAGAGGGCTCCGACCTGTCTGACTGGGAGCCGAGCTGTTGAAGAAGATGTCCGAGCAATTAGTCAGGCGTCCGGGCTATTGGAGAGAGCATCCGAGCTGTTAGAATCAATGTTCGAGCTGTTTAACCGGGAGCCAAGCTCAGACTTATGCGAAGCCAAGGTTTGCCAGAAGGATGTAGGGAGCTCAAGTTAATTTTTTTTGAAATCTCCATCTTAGACGAAGTGTGCCCACTTAGGTTCTGGGCATCGAAGTTGGTCGCGTGGCGTCCTTGACTTAGTTATCTTAGAGGAACTTAGCCGCTTTGAAGAAATCTAAGTCAGAGAAATAAGCACATTCACCGCAAGGTGAAATGTGCCCACTTAGTCCCCGAGCCTAGCACTAGGTGAAGTAGTCTCGTGGTGCCAGGGTCCAAAGTAGTTGTCTTCAGGTGCTGAACCCGTTCCCAGCTTAGCTGAGAAAAATAGTACAATCATTGCTAGATGATGTGTACACATGTAGTCCCCGAGCCTGCTGGAAGATTGCGAATATATCTTGTAGCAGGGTTAGGAAAAATATCTTGCCATGAAAATCCAAAAATTCCTTCAAAATATTGCTTGGCACACGTTTTGTCTTTGCGGCCCGCGCGAAACGCAGCTTCACATACGGATACGGTAAGCCCAGTTAACGGCCTAGTGACGCGCGGAGAACTCAGAGGGAATGAGGCGTGGCAGACGCGGTTTCCCAAAAACCCTAAAGGCAGAGGGTTAGGGGTCGTTCCGTTATAAATCCATCGCGGCTCCGAGGCATACTCCCTATTTCCCGCACGCCACATCGTCTTCCTCATGCTCTTGCACACATACACCTTCCCGTCTGCAACCGCTCCACCACTGGAATAAATCCAAGCAGCGAGCAACCACCGTCTCCAAATCTGCTTGATGGCACCGAAGAGGAATCACAACGGCTCAAGGCGGGCGCCGTGCCAGGTCAACCGCACCGAGGAGTGGGTGTAGTCCGTCAGTGATGAGAGGGCACTCAACAACTTGGTGGTGCTCGGGATTCTACCAGACAGGGCGACGGCGGGATGGTGTCCAGCGGTTGGTGAGAATTTCCCCACGCCCTATTCCTATGAACTTATTGTTTTTGAAGATTACTTCATCTGCGGATTTGGCGTCCTAATTCATCCTTTTCTCCATGGGCTGATTGACCATTATGGCATCAGTCTCTGCAACCTTAGTCTGAATTCCATCCTTCTGTTGTTGTTTTCATCAATCTTTGTGAGGCATATCTGGGGATCTTACCCCACTTCGATCTATTCCACCATTTCTTCTGTCTCAAGATGCGAGGGGAGCTAGATCCAAGGTAGTCGGCAGTGCTTATCTGTAGCTGCGGGATGGGATGGTGAGCCAGTACATCGCCGTCCCGCTTAACATGAATGTGAAGTACTAGGCCTACAGATGGTTCTACATCAAGCAGGTGGAGCCATATGTCTAGTGTGACATTGATTAGGTGCTAGTGGTGAACACAAAGTGGTTGGAGAGGCCTGAAGGTGCACAAAGATTTCCATCCTATGAAGTGTGCACATGCATGTGCACGTGTATACACGTGCACATGCATGTGCCCCTATAGACCCAAAGGTGCAC